TGGTATGGCAAGAGGAATGAAGAGATCAGAGTTTTCACTGTATCCATAAGTACGTTGTGCCAGCATTCTCTTTACATTTATTGAGATCACTTGTCCTCACTTTTTGGGTCAATCACAAAACAATAGTGTCTCAGCACTAAGGGAAAAATGCCTTGGGATAGGAGACTGTAGTACTAACATTTACTGTATCTGAAAATTTGCATTTCAGCAAGTGAGATAAAAGAAGATTGAAGCAAATGCCATTATCCAAATCAACTAATCATTTGTCATACAGGGAGGGAGCCTATTTGTTTGTGATTTACGGTTCTAACATAATGTTAACTGACAGGCTCTCATCTTTTTGATCTAAACCAAAGCTCTTATCACTCATACTGAGGCGATGATAGACGACTCAGATGCAGCTTCAAAGGACATTTGTGTTCATGACTTCTCATGGTATCAGTGATATGCACCTTGTATCACAAAACCAGTGGCTTAAAAACAACACCAGAGGCACATAGCACATTAGTTCCACCAAATGCAATGCAAACAAGTAGCAAATTTTCAGTCCAGCCTGACTTCCAGTTGAAAAATGGGGGACTGATTAAAGAATTGAAATGGTCACAGGATGCACCAATGACTAATGATCTAATGATGACTGCAGAAAAAATAGCTTGTGAAACATGACTTTATAATGTAGTAGAGTTAGTTGGTGTAGTTTTGTGTTTTGCCAAGTGAGCTACTGTAGTTTAATCTTCAATGATCTGAACATTGAACAGTGAATTTCTGGTACTGAAATAGCTAACAAATTTATTCATTTACTCACGAAGAACTGCTTCTCACAGCAAACAACAAATGATACTAGCAGTTATATTGAAATTAAAATCTGTTTTACACCCAGCTATTTCTACACTGAAGAACTTACCTTATGCAAGACACTGGTATTAACATGTCTTTATTAGCCATATCTGTCTTTATTAGACAGGAAACTTACAACTGAAACAATGTCAAAACAGACTTCCCTTCATCAAGATGGCAGACATGCTTAACCCAGTTATCAAGATAATTAAGAAGTTATCTGGTTATCGAAAAAAATGCTTATTGACAATCACTGCTCATTAGTTACAAGCAGAAACAGTCACAATAAATTATAATTAAGGATTTTAAGGAGATAACTGCTATTATTTTGTTCATGTAAAATTAATAAGGTTATTGCATAACACCTTCTGAAAACATATTTACAAACTCTGATTATGTAAATTGTAAAAAACCTCCAATGCAAATTGTTACATTAAATTGTAATTATTATATTTATAGAATATATTTTTCTTAAATGTAATGGAACAACTGAATCCTGGAATATCCATCTTGGTTAAAGACACTAGAGAGAGGCTTTAGGACACTCAGGATAAAGGACAGGAATCTTTAGCTGTTGCAAAACCCCTAAATCGCCTAATTTATGAGACAGACAATTGGTCACAGATGATGAGAGTTTATAACTTGTTGAATGACAAGCTTAGTAAAAATCAAGAATGAAAAGTACAGACATGGAACCTACTGTATGTGCCCAACTTAGCAAGAGAACAACAACTTTTTGTCATTGTGGAGGCTTGGTAAGTGAGTACACTCTGGCTCCTAACTGAATTGCTCTAAGACAATCATTTCTGTCCTGTTAAGATGTTATGGCCAAGCACAGTCAATCAATGATCCATCAAGGCCACAACCTGAGAAATCACAGGCTTGTTGGGGAGGTCCAAGTGTAATGGTCAAGCAGGAGTATTTAATAACAACAAAATTCCACTTGTAGTGGATTATGACCTGACTCTATGGTTTTATATTTTTACTGTGTTAATCATGTTTTGGGACCTCAATTGATGCCATTCTATTCTAACATTAAAAAAAACAGCAGAACAACACAAGTCCTCATGCCGCACTTGTAACACAATATCTCACAATTTGGGAGCATGATAGCTGAGCAATGGGTGTCCATGTTGATTTTTTTTGGCAGGATGACCTGGGATGACATGTGGCATCTAGGCTCAGGGATCAGTGAGTAGATGCATGCCAGGGTCTATAAGAGGAATGGCACAGAATCCCCGACCAGCATGTGCAACCTGATACAATGCATGCATCACAGACCCACCTTTCCATTTTCTAACCACTTTATTCAATTCGGGGTCACGGGGCAGCTGGAGCCTCTCCTGGCAAGCCATGGGCAGGGTACACCCTCGATGGATGCCAGTCCATCACAGGACACACACAGACACAAACACACACGCTCACACCACAGCCAGTTTTCCCAGAAGCCAATTAACCTGCCAGTATGTCTTTGGATGATGGGACTTAACCGGAGCACCTGGAGGAAATCCATGAGAACTCAGGCAGAGCATACAGACAGTACAAACTCCACGCAGATAGCACCCCAGCAATTGAACCCAGTGCTATAAGGCAGCACTTCTTACCACGGTGCCATCATGCTATTCTGCAATAGATGTACAGATTGGATTTCTTCAATAGTGGTCATACATGCGCTACCAGCTCCTGACTGTGTACCTGTGTATTGGGTACAGTTCACCAATTCTGTTGCCGAAAAAGTTTAATCAACATAGTGAATTTAAAAAGAAAACATATTTGGCAATTTCCCTGATAACCTAATAAATCTGTTGTAGTTATAAGTGATATATTTCCTAGTGCATTACATTTTATATGAACTTAGAAACTGTATCTTAAGAGATAAGAATTTCCCCCAAGCAGGCCAAAGGAACGAACAAAATATCCCTCCCTTCCAGGCTGGCTCACACTAAAGACAGTTTCATTTACTCTGCCTAATTGTAAGAATATGGAACTTAAGATGCAATAACTATAGTGCAAGCATTTCATAATGTCAAGATTCTGGTGCATTTTTACATTATATCATGTTTTCATTCATTCAATTTTTCTAGTAGGTTTCACACTACATACTAGTACACTATGTAACGTATGTAATGTGCTTATTAAAATGAAATTATGTGCATAATGTACTTTGTTTTCTCTTGAAGCAGTTGGTACACCAGAAAAGAATCAAAGTACTAACAAAAATTCAATCAAATAAAAAATGTTTAACCCGTAAATGTAACTTTTTATGTATGGTTTCCTGTGCTAAATATCAACTGCTTTATAAACGGCAGTGTCTAATGTCTGGAGAAAGCTGACATTCAAAATGGTAAAGAAGAGAGAGAAATACTTAATTTTTCTCAGTGTATTAGCATTGCTAGACAATTTTCATTTACCACAGACACCCTTAATTACTTTTGGCTTTCACTACTGTTTCAGTGGAATTTCCAGGTTTATACAGTTGCCGATGTTATGCTCTACGTAATTATAGGATCCAGAGAGCGACAAAATTCAACTTAAACAACTTGAGCTGATACTAAGGTTTTATCTACATGATTTTCCATGCATTTATAAAACTTACATAATTTTGTACCACAGTGTCTGTGAAGCTTTGCATAATGTTCTTGTTTCAATGGTTTCAAGCAATATACAGCACTGAAGAAAATAACTTACAAAAATAGAAACTTGCTGAATCATCGTGCATCGTTTTTTCTTTCATGAGAATGTAAATTCATTCTTCTGGATAATGTCAATCTGACTAACTGCCATTGCACCTAACATTACACAAAGAAAGACTAGTTTGTTCAGTAATATAACACCAACCACATTAAATTAATCTTATAATTTTTGTAAGTTATATAAAAAACATTAAATTTGATGCACAACAGACTTTCTCTATAAAAAAATAAATAAACTGTATGCTGTGTGCATACAACACACATAGTAAATCTGTGTCACTTGGAACTCAATCACTTGTTAAGTCTACTATTTATTTTGCTTTAACATTTTTTTCATTTCTAATTTTTTAAACATATGCATAGCAGGATTATTTTTCTGGTTTGCATGTTATTTAAAAAATCTCTTTCGTGAGTATAAAATCCCCTCTAGAAGATGAATCAAAGAACTGTTTTATTGTCCATCTTTGGAAATTTCGGTTCATTTCTGGAGCAAAAGAAAAGAAGTGAGTGCTTGTTCAGCCAACTTCTGCAGTGACTCCATGTTGACTATGATAAGAGAAAGGCTTCTTTAACAGAACAATCCACCCAGAACAGCACGATGAGAAGTGAAACTGCGTAGATCTAATATACATTCTGTATCATAATCCAGGTACAAGGTGCAAAAAGATGACAGATAGCTTATGCTATCTGTAAATATCTTTAAAGGTTTTATTAATGTATCTTTGAGTACACAGTGCCTATAGAAAGTCTACACACTCTTTCCAAAGTAACACATTTTGTAGCCTAACATCCTGAAATCAAGACACATTAAATAAGAATTTGTTTTACCTTTAGTCACACATACTGTGCTAACGCACAAACTTCAAGTGAAAATCAAATGCTCAAATATTCTGAAAATTAATCAGAATTACTAATTTTCGTTGTATTATTTATTACATGAAAAATATTTTTTTCTTTAGGAAGCCAGAAAATGTGTTACTTTGGAAAGTGTGTAAAGACTTTCTATAGGAACTGTACTGTTTGTTTATGTGTTTGTTACTACAGATTCCTGTAGGTGTTAAAATCCTCAAACCTCAGCTTCTTTACTTAAGGTTGGAGTTTTCGACTGAAACCTCCAAAGGGATCGTTCTTCACTGGTAAAAAGGGGGAAGTGATAAAACATAACATAACAACTTCTTATAAAGTCAAGTCTCATTGTTAGTTAAATCTCTGTGAGTTAATGTATTTTGTTACCTCCATACTTCAAAGAGTAATAGCTTCTGATAAAAAAACGTTTTTTGATAATATACCGTATATATTAATTTTACTCTATTTAGTTTTATTTTGCAGATTCTTTCACCCTTCGAAATGTTAATTCACACAATGTGCTTCACTGCATACAGACTTAAATCTGTAAATGACAATTATTGATCAATTAAGATATTGTAGAAGCAGTTGTTAGTCATTGCGACAAAGCATTTCGAGTATATATAATGTACAGTATATACTTTATTTCAAAGATGACATGGTTCACATCTGTACAATCCTTTACAAACTCTAACATTTAAAAAGACATTTCCCCAGTTCTACTGTATATTTGTTTCCTTTGAAGAAATACAGATTGACTGTCTGCCTGATTGGATACTCAGTGGCCTAAGAATATTCACTTGATCCAAATTGTTATCATTCCTCATTATTCTGGGTAAAGCACCTCATCCCAATTCAAAAAAGCTTTCCCTGAATGCATCCTCTGCTTTTTTTTCCCCACTTGGCTTCAAACTGTAGAGGTGTTCGGTTAATTTGTCCCTGTTTTGAGAAGGATAGGACTGAAGTAATTAATTCTACAATGGGAAACACCTCTTTCTGAAAAACACACAGACATCGGTGGCTGTTCAAGGTTCATGAGCCACAGTTAACTGGAGAGTTTGGAATATTAAGTAAATCCTTTAATTTAATTTAATCATTTTATCCTTTAATTATCCTTTAATTGGTTTAGTTTTGTGACTGCTGGTGCTGTGGAAAAGGGTGTAACAAAGGCAAATTGTACTGTGTGAAGTGCAAGATTTCTCATATATACATTTTCCTTAAAAACACTGAACCAAGTGTAATTGACTTTCTTATTACACAATATTCTTCTATACATTTATGTAATCTTTTTCTATTGTGAGACAATTGGAAGTTTAGCAATCGACACTCTGAATCTGGTAATGTGATCTAGGTTTTAAAGAATGTAAAGGGTTATAAGGCACAGCTACAAATCTACTAAATGCCAAGTGAAATATCTGCACTCCATAATGGAGCAAGTACTTTTTCAAGTGTCCTTCAACAGTCCTTCAGTGCGTAGAGGTTATTCAAATATTCATATCTTTGGTATGTATTACAAACCTGATGAAAACTGCAAAATGCAACATTGTCTGGAAAACAGTGACAAATCAGGGTGGTCTGATTCACACGGGGGAAACGACAAAAAAAACATCCCTGTTACCATGCTTTCTCTTTTCATACATGCTACTGAATCTTCACCAAGCACTACAGCCAGGCAATTTCATGCTGCACTTTAAGATCAGTGAAATGAAGAGCAAAGATGTGACCAGTACTCCTCTTCCAGCAGCAAGCAGGTTCTTTAGAAGGCTGTCATACACCCGAGACAGCTGGAGGTTGGATCAAAATCCCTCTTCAGGATAGAGCTCCTCAATATCTCTTTTAATGTCCCTTCATTCCATATCTCTTTTATGTCCCTTCAAACAAAAACATTTATCCATTTATAAGGCACATGCGACAGACCTCCTTCAGCAAGCAGTTTCTCTGTTGCCCTTCAGTTAATTTGTTTTGATGTCGATGATCATCCAACACTTAACCAACATAAGAGCTGATTCTTCATTTTTCTTTGGTTTTTAGCTAGATTTCTTACAGTTAGAATCCGGAACTAATTACCAGCTGAAAAATGAAATGATGGGCTAAATGGCCTTGTATCATCTATATTTTAATTATAATAACCCAAGATATTATTTGTTTTTAAGAACAGAGGGATCATTTTTCATCTGTAGTAAAGAAGAACATAATTTGCATTCTCTTTTTCTAATGGTGAATTGATCTTATTATCACAAGATGTGTGAGTTAAATGCTTTCAATGATAAATAATACACATGTAGGAGTAATGCAGGTCATTTTTGAAAATCAATAGGCTGCAGTGTTTAAATGGCATGCCATTTAAAGAACTAATGAATAGGACCGATGTTCCTTCTTAGGGACATAAGTAATTAATGGTTTCCTTTGGCTGACATATTGCTAAAAGAACAACAGAAAGGAAAGAAGTCAATTCTTCTTATTGATTTAGATACTTTCCAGGGGGTTCCTAATGGCTAAAAGTGAAAGATGTGCTGTATAGTCAGGAATCACTAATTTCAGTTCTGGTAATGCTTCTTCAACAGTGTAGTGGATGCAGTTAGCCAAATGTCACCGAGATCAAATGGATTGAAATTGGCTTGGGAGCCTTGGTTCTGTGAGCTTGGGTGGTATTAAAGAGTGAGCTTTGCACACTGTCAATAGTGCTTGGCATATTATATACATGTATGGTGCCTTCATTTTTACAGAGTTGTCAAATTAATGTTCCAGTGAACCGGGAGAGAATATGGAATCCTAACTAAGAAAATATGAAAAAATACAAATAAAAAATGGCCATTCAGCCCATCTTGATCACTTGATTATAACAGCTAATTGATTTTCCACTTTTTTTTTAAATGTCTGATGGAATCAATCTCATTATGGCTGAACAATTTGTTCTACTCATGCACCGAAAATAAGAAAAATCCAGCTTTATCTGGATCCAGTACCTTTATCAAGGCTTATTCTGTGACAAACAGTATGATTCATTTTGTGAGGAAGCCCGTGAAAAAATGGATTAGGGTTAGCATTAGTTCAGAAAGAACAGAGACATCAAACTGTAAACATATTAAAAAAATTAACTTGGCCTATTTAGTGTGGTGATTCAATAGAAATAACACAAACAAAAAGCTCTTAAATTCTTAAGTTGAATTCAGAGCACCTTCTTGTAACCATAGAATATAACACAGAACAGTGGATTTTGACAAAAGATTAAATAAAATGTACACTGCTGGGGATTATTGGTAGGCAGGGCACATCCATGTGTGGTTTCCATTATTGTCCACATTTTCCATTGTTTCTCAGTTTCAAGCATGCCCTCCCAGAGATGGCTATCATCATATTAAAAACCATTCCAACATTCTCTGGAAAAAAATCTTCACAGAGCAAAAGAAAAAAGTGGAAAAAAATTGTCCATGTTTTCGCATGAAGCGCAAAGCACACCAAATACCAAAAAAAAAGCAAATGAACACACAAAGAAATATTCTTCATAGTAAAAGATAGCTGCATTGTATCATATCATAAATTAAAGTCTTCATGGCTTCAAGATAATACATTGCCATCACTTGTCTGATTCTTTCCATCCCCGAGCATTTCTTCCAAATTTGTATACGAGCCTCCTTCCATCCACGCGCTCAAGAATCTCTCGCTTGTAGTAGTATCTGAAAAATATGGACAGAGATGTATTTTGAGTGCTGACCACCTCTGATCCAAGACTTTTGCATTCACTTTGGGAAAACACTGCCATACCCTTCCAGAAAACAGTGTTCAACCCAACCAAAGAGCTTAAAAAGTCAACTTTATATATAGAGATATAAATAGGTTATATTTCTATACTGTATTTAGGTACTAAATATTTAAATAATGTGCTTTTGGTCTCCTCGTTGTTCACATTCTGCCCAGTTCTAACACTTAAGAAAAGAGGCAATCATTATTTTTATTATTTGAGTGTGTTCCACAGCCAATCAGAAAGAATATTTTTTTCTCGGTTTTCGTCAAATGTCAGTTTTCAAGCTGGCAATGACTTTGACAGAAGAACGATCAATGGCACACATACACAAACACAAGACATGATTGTTGCAAGTTCTTAAAGAAGCTATCCATTTGAAAGGTTCAAGACAAATGATTTATATCAGGGTATATAGAAAATTTAAAAAATCCTTTATTGAAGACTCAGTTGAAGAAGTACTGTCTCTGCCATCTCCTCAAGACGTGAGCTTTTATTTGTACAGCAGGGGTGTGTCCTTTAGACTGCTGTTCATCTAATGCCACCTAAATCTTGACAATAGTGTCATTATATCATCCAGGAAAAACGTTTGTATTCTTGCTAATAAAAAGCTTCTTTGAAACAGTTATACATTTTAAAGTTGACATGAAACAATTACAGACTTATTTCTTAAACCAAAGTTTCAATAAATGACAATATGTATCACTTTTTCAAAACCATAAATTTATGAGTAACACCACTATAAATATTTCAACAGTGATTAACTCTGGGAACTGTCTTACAAACATTATTTCCAAAGTAGTTCAGGTGGGGGGCTGTGTCAGCATGCGTAGGCTGCAAAGGAACAAGTAATAGGTTTATTCCATGCTGAAAAAAGAAGAAATAAAACACAACGTTTCGGCCGTGGAGCCTTCTTCAGGTGTGAGAGAGACAGGGCAGTAAGCAAAGGTAATGCAGTGGGAAACAAAAGCTGGGAGAGATGAGGAGCGAGAGGCGGGAGCAAGGGACAGAAAGAGAGGCCAGTCAGGAGGTGTGAAGTCAAGATAGGTGAAGAGAGGTGTGAAATGAAACCTACAATGAATAGAGAGAGTTTAGAAGAAAAATAGTCTGTCATTAAGTGAAGGGGGAATGTGTGATCCTAGATGCAGGAT